TGATGTAGGTAAAGCTGTAGTGGGTGTTGTTAATATATTGCCAGCATTCTGCTACTTAAGATGCATTATTGTATGGTTTTATAAAGTGGGATCAAAGATAGGGGTAACCAAATATTAAAATCTAGGGGCTTTTGCTTATTTCAGGTTAGCTTAACGTAATGTTCTCCAGCATTTCTGATAAAACTACTGTTTCCCAGGAACCTAAGGAAACTTGTGTTTAGTGCTGTGGACTGGGCTTTTCAGAGAGGCACAAGGAGGTTCAATGTCAAGCTCTGGCTGAAAACTGGTGAAAACTAGGGCTGTTCCTGTAAGCAATTGAGAAATGCAAGCTAAGGCCATTCTCCGCACTGTTTTTGTTGCGTGTTAGTAGAATGCAGAAGTGTTATCTGTTTTTTGAGAAGTAACGCCTTTAAAAAGATGTAAATGCTACTTTTGGAAGCAGTTTTTTTTTTAAAAAAAAACAGTGCTCTCAGTAGTAGGGAACTTGTTTTCCAGACGCTAAAAATAATTTAACATCCAATATTGGAAAAATAGGTGCATAACATTAAAACTGTGCTTATGCATAACAGTATTACTGGAGTCACAATATAACGGTCTGTACGACCTTGATTCAGATCACTTGTGTCTGTACATCATCACAGGATTTATGGCCAATGCCTGTTTTACTAAAGTAATCTTTTTACATCTCTGTTTATCGATTTCTTGATGACCAGCTAGTGACTGTTGGGTCCAACTTAGACTTGAGATCTCAAAGCTATAATTAAAATTGAGGAGTGCGATATAATACTGAACATCTTTAAAAAGGTTGACCTGTGTATCTTGCGTTTGTCTGCCAAAGTAGAAAGATATGTTTACGTTAGCCTATTCTGCCTCCATTTGCCATTCTTGGCAGATGTGTTGTGAAAACTTAGTTTATGAAAGCTCTTACTGGGAATAATGGCTGCTGTAAAGAAGACACACATGATTCCTTAGGGTGTGATGAGTCAGGTAAAGAACTTCTTAAAAGAATTGTTCATTGTATGAGCAGTATTGCTTTTGTATACTGAATGAAGCAGAACTTGGTTGTAGGAAAAAAACACATGTCGTTTCATAATTTAAAACTCTTACCTGTCTGGAAAAAGCAGGAAAAATCTGGAGTTACATGTAATTACTTACTGGGAGCAATGTATGCTATAGTGTTTTTAAAGGCCAACTATATTTGAGTGTCTCGCCTCAGGACAATATACCCTGTCTGGTGTATTTACAGTTTCGAGATACTTGAGCATTGTCTTTGAGACAGTAATGTGAAGATAATTATAGGGGTTGGACAAAACACCCAGATGGTTCAGTTTTCTGTCTCACGTGATGGCTTAAGGAGACTCCATAAGCACATAGAGAGGCATACGATGATGGTTTCTTTAATGAACTCGCAGCAGCCTGCAGTTTGGGGTCTGCCTGAGCCAGAGATTCTCTTCTGTGTTTCGCGACACTTGGTATACTTTCCTCTCCCTCAAGTATTTATATAATCTTTTTGAACTCATCTTCATTTTTGACATCTGCACCATAACGTAACAGTAGTTCCACAGTTTAACCACATATTTGTATGTGTTTTAGGCAGTTCTGAATCTTGATACCTAATGATTTTATTTGTTACCTTAGGTTTGGTTTTTGTTTCCTAGAAATAATGAAAAACTGTTCTTCATGCAATTTTTGATTTTTAACTCAATAGCGTCTTCTTAAGTACTTGGCTTTTTGAGGCTAAATAAAAAGTCTGAGCTTGTTTAGCTCCCTTCATAATTAGAAGAATTCTTTTATCCTTTTCTGTATTTTTTTTAATATTCTCCTGTGGTGTTTTTTTTTTTTTTTTTGATGGGGGTGAGGAGAGCTGGGGGCAAAAGAGAAGAGAGACCAAGATAATACATATCACTCAAAATATAAGCACACAAATTTTTCATACCACAGCATAAGGGATTCTGCTTTTGTGTGGAAGGTTGGGAGGGATGGTACGTTGTGTCATTTTTTTCCTATTCAATACTTTCCTTGAAGTTCTAACATTATTTGCTTTTTGGATTACCACTGTGCTCTGTCTGTGCTAACTCCAGGTCTTTTTTTTTTTTTCTTCTCAGTTATCACACTGTGCACAATTAGGTATTATCATACTTCACATGGGTTACTCATTTACCTATTTGGAATTTTATCTGCCATTTTATTTTTTCAGCTACTTAATATTTTGATATTGTGGTACAGTTTTCAGCAGTAAGCTTCGACTTCTGTTGCAGTGGATAACTTACTAAACCAAGAAAACCAGCTTCCGCACTGTTTGTATGTGACTGAATCAGGCAGGATGAATACTTGTGGTGACCTCCTTTCACTGAAAAAGTTGAATATTTATTTTTAACCTTTTGGGTTTTTGTCTGCTAATATAGGTCTTTATTCGTAAGAGGACCTCTCTCTTTGCACCCATGATTGTTTAGTGTTTTTAAGACCCTTTTGTAAGGGAACTTGTTAAGTACCTTAGAAATCTAAATAAGTCAACCATGTCATTGTTCCTTCCTCCTGATTCCTTTGAGTGATTATTAATAGAAATAATTATTACCACATCTACAAAAGTAACACTGATCCTTTCCCATAGTATCCTGTTTGTGTATTTACTAATTCTAAACTTTACTGTTTCTACAGGTTTGCCTAGTAGAAGTATCAAAGTTACTTGTGTACAGTTCCTAGGAGCCCTTTTTATTTAAAAAAAAAAGAAAAAAGAAAAAAGATGTCCATGTTTGCCACTTGCACTCCATACTGGAGTGATATTTTTAATCAAATATATAAACAGAACGCTTAAACTCAATAATTTAAAACTCTGGAAAGACTACCTTTTAGTCCTGGTGACTATTTCTTTTACTGTTTGTGTTCAGAAAACTTTCTTTTTGAGATAATTCCTCTGTCATATTCTCATTTAAGTCCAGTATGGGAGCCTCCTAAAGTTCCTATGTACTAAGTACTGATGGGAAAAATTCATTGACATTTCTATGTTTTTTTGGAACTTCAGTGCTATAAAGCCAATAATGAAAGCATGTAAGTTGTGCAAGTATGGACAGACTATTTTGAGGACAAAAAATAGCATATCTCTTACTCCAAACTGGTGTTAAATTCTAGGTATGGGACTTTTAGATTATTACAATGGAAAAAAATCATCAGTTTTTTAAATTGCTTTTAAATACTGAAACTCTGATTGTTTTTCCCTACTCTTGCTGTGTTTGGTCACTAAGCTCATTTGGTGGAAACTTTGCTCAGAAAAGGTTGGTCTGAAATAAAAAAGTGTTCTGAAGATTTTAGCCTGAGTCGTTACTGTTTGCCATAACAAGGAGTAATTGAAAATAATAATGATATCAGCCACACCTGTAGTATGAGTAGGTGACTGTTGGTTTGTTTGGTTTTTTTCTTCCCGCTTTTTTTAAGCCTATGGAAAAGTGTTCCTAGTGAGGAAAGTAAGCGGCCACGATGCTGGAAAGCTGTATGCCATGAAAGTACTGAAGAAAGCAACAATAGTTCAAAAAGCCAAAACAACTGAGCACACAAGGACAGAACGACAAGTGTTGGAGCACATCAGGCAATCACCATTTTTGGTCACATTACATTATGCCTTTCAAACAGATACAAAACTTCATCTCATTTTAGGTGAGTAGTTTTCAGAATTCAAGTCTTATGTTAATGGTAAAAAAAAAAAAATCTGCCCTTTTGTCTCAATGTTTTGCAGCTTTTTTTTTCATGTGGTCGTAAGTGCTGTGTGTTTGGAGATTGCATAAAAGACCATAGGAAGTAAAACACTGTTCATCTTCAACAGTGTCTGTGTTTGTGGTTTTCCTGTTTGAACTTCAGTATGCTACTCTGACTTGGAGGGGGAGTATTATCAGTGAGTTACATGCAGCAAAAAATGTATATGACCATAACTACCTAAACTAGAGAAATATTTTTCTCGAACTTATGTAGAAGATGAAATTTTCATTTGCAGTTTTTAAACCATAATTATATACTGCATTAGTTTTCTACAGATTTTCAGACAAACTACTGCCATGAATGAAAAAGTTCTTAATCTGTATGAATCTGGGCAATAAAGTGTTTCAGGTTGTTTTCTCTGTGTGCTGCCTTTGTGTATGTGGCACTCAGGTTATTGGTCAGATGAGATAACCAAATGTGATTTTGTTACTGGGATTAGTTAGTAGGAAAGAAGAAGAAAGTAAGGAAATATTTAAGCAGCAGAAAGCCTTCTAGTTCGAACATACTGCACGTTTCACTCTAAGAACAAGTTGTATAATGTCCTCAATGTGATCAGTGTTTTTGAAATGTCTGTTGGAGAGGACAGGGCTACCTGTCACTATGCTGACTGGTTAGGATGCTATTTTAGCACTGAAATGCTGCAAACTGAAAGATTGTATCAGGCAGATTTTTTTTTTCTGAACAAATGTGCACATAACATGGGCGATGCCAGTTAAAGGTGATTGTGCTTTCATTTATTTCTGGTCAAATGCCTTACAACACTGTAATGTACAAGTTGTTGCTATGGTTTCCTGCTGTAAAATACTGGTGAAAATACTTGGATTGTGGATCAGTTTCTTGTTTTATGCATTGTGATACTTCATTTTGGGAAGTTCTACCAGTAACTTTCATAAATCTCTATTTACAAGAGATGCTTGATAATGAACTATGATATAGCAAGACTTATTAGAACATTCTTCATTCCACTTAGAATCATAGAATTGTCTAGGTTGGAAGGGACCTTTAAGATCATCAAGTCCAACCATCAACCTTTGTGAAGAACAACATCTATTTCTGTAGCATTTGCAAGGTCGGCAGAAGACTGATCAGGAACTTTCTTAGGTTTTTTGACTCAGCTATAACGTCTGTATGTGTGTGTCTCTATTCCCTACCACTATGCTTTTTCAGGACAGTAATATTTTAGAGAAAGACACTGAGATTAAGGAGTTATATTCCTTTTGCTTTATTCCCCAATTTCATTGCCTTTGAAGAGTCCTGTCTTTCTGAGGAAGATGAAGGATTTTTCCGGATAACGAGGAACACTTACTTCAAGAGCTGGAAAAGAGTATTAAAATCAACTCTAAACCTTACTGCTTCAGGAAGCATTTGCTGCCAAAACTTTTTGTTATGAAACGATTTGATCTTAGAGTATTGAGATACTTTTCAATACTGTTTCAATTTTTGGGTGTTAAAAGGCAATCCAAAATCACACATTTCTGTGCTGGAAGTAGAGCTTGTTCATAAGGCTTGATACCACTCTAAAATTAGAAATATATCTACCTTTCAGATCAGCAGCAAATTTTGTTTGCTATATAAGATGTATTTGTAAGAGAATTACAAGCAATTTTTTAAAGATTGCTTGCTTAAATTATTTTAAAAGAACTGGAAAATAAAGGATTAAGTTAATGCTTGGATGCAGAATACATTTTTGTAGTGAATTATTTAAAGGAGTTAATGGTCCTTTAATTAAAGTACAGGTTTTGCAATTCCTTTTAGCTCATAACTTCTGTTTATTGAACCTTTATTAACAGGCTGATTTAGACATTAAATTAATAAAATTTTATTAATGTTACATGAGGATACACCACTGGCTGTCAATTCTTAAGAAGGTGTTCTACGCGCATACCTTAGTTTCATATACTACATTGAGGTAATACAGGTATCTGAGGAGCTCAAGTTTAAATGGAGTATTTACTGGATTCCTTTTGAAAATCAGAGTTGAAAATTGTAATAATGATTCTTACAAATTCCTCTGACTGGGACGTTAAAGAAACATGTAAAATACTGTCACGGGCAGAAAAATGCTAGAGAGACAAAGAAAAAGTTAGAAATCCATTGATTTGTGATTCCATGATGTTAACCTTTAATTGTTTTTATTTTTTTTATTTTATTGAACTTATTAATAATTTGGAAAATAATTTGAAAGATTTAATGAGACAAAACGTGAACATGTATTATAACATGAATGTTATAATACCATTCTTTAAATCCAGATATTTTTGGCTAGAATGCAGTTTAGATTCCATTAACAATTAAAAAACCAAAACAAATAAAATAAAAAAAACCCCACCAACCTTCACACCTGAGGTGGATGTAGTTACCTAAAAATAAATACATAGTAATGGAGAAATTTAGGTGAAGAGGATAATTAGAAGGCCAGAAGAACATCTTATAGGAAGGGAAAATTAAAAGCTTGACATTATATTCTCTTAAGAGACAAAGAAGAGGGAGCCAATTAGTTCTGAAGAACATTACATAGCAGATAGTGCAGACTGGGCACACGCCCACCATAGCGCAATGTTAAGGTGATGTTTAAAGCAAGAAATTCAAAGCTGATGCATAATTAAGGGCTTTTTGGCTTGTTTTTTTGCTTTCCCGCAAAGTCTACATGAATGCATTCTCAGAATATCAGTGGGGCCAGAAAGGTCCTTTTTTCCTTCTTTATAAACAGAAAATGGGAATCATTAGAGGAGGTTTAAAAATGTCTTTTAATCGCCCTTTGTAACAGTGAAAATTTCTTCTATCTAACATGACCTAAAGCTACTTTATAATTCACCTGGGCTTCACACCTTCCCTGACAAAAAAACCCCAACCAATTATTTGTTGCAAGTTTTTTATGTCTCGTTATGTAAATCTTTGTAAATCACTTCTTGGATGTAGTTTAGGAGTTTGTGTTTCAGAGGCTTCTGAATTTTTGGGGAAAGTGGTCTCTGCCTTTGTTTTTCTACCCAGCTGAACTCAGTGTATGAGCGACATGTCATTCCAGTTTCAAGAGTTTTTAGAATTGGAGCCTCAGTGCAGTATTTCATATAGTTCTTTGTGCAATCAGATTACATTGTGGTATGAATTTAGTCTGGATCAAGTGCAGACATGCAGCTGCATTTCAGCCAGTTTTCCAGAATACAGGGTTTGAAGTTAATTCCAGTTTTTAGGTTGACTTCAAGCTATGATTGAAAGAACAGTGTTGTATCCATGAGTACCAGTTCTGTACAATGTTGTCACACAAGGTTAACCTAATACTTAAAAAACAAACAAACAAACAAAACCAAAAAAACCCACCCCCAAAACCCTGAACTGTCAGATGGAGTTTATATTAAAGTGATTTCCCTCCCCACCCCCATTGTATCAGTAGTGCATTTGATCTAGCACCAAGCATTTCAAGGCTGGTTGTTTCATTGCACTGTGTTTAGTGTTATAACCTGAATAGAATTAGGCTTGTTGCAGCTTTGGGTTCATATCTGTCACAGTCCTTAGAACAGTGCCTGGGAATTCAATTCTTATCTTGTACTAAGTTAGCAGTTATGATTAGAAATATTTAGAATTTTTTTTCTGTTATCTTTTTGTTTTCCCCATGATTAAAATGCTGAAGTTTTTTTTTGGAAGAAGGAAGCAATTGTAAGATGTGCGTTATTTATGCTTTATTATCTTTGTTTTCATGTACTTACTGATCTAGATAAATAATCTTCCTCACATTTGATTCCACTAATATTCCTTCCCAAACAGAGAAATGGAGAACTAAAAAAAGGAGAGAGATCAGGGTGTCTATAATTTTTATATATGCTGTTCCTCCGCAGTATTAACTTACTTATAGTAGGATTGGACCTTTTTCATGGATTTGTGTTATACAATGAATCTATAGAAACCATATTCAGGAAGATGTTGAGTGAGGTACTGTGGGGCATGTTCCCCGTTCTGTATATGTAGACCTCAAATACAATATGGAGGTTGTGGGGTTGCAAATTAATGGCTTTACCGTACACTGCTAGCATAAACAGCTCTGCCTCTAAAACGTGTTTGTGTTGCAGTGGAGCTCTGTTGTAATAATTACCTTTTCCCCCCCTTCTCTGACTGGGAAAACCCTTGTGTCATAACCTGCAAAGAGTGAAAGTGTGGTTTCCATGAGGGAATGTATGTGGAAATAATGTCCTCCAGTAGGTTTTGCCATCGAAGTTCCACTTGCAAAGAGGAAAACTTGTAAATGCCCATAGTTGATTATTTCACCTAATACCTGTTTTTTTTTTAATTGCTTTTCTTTATGTCAGTCTGCCTTGTTGCTCTTAAGTATTTCATAAAACTGTACAAGCATTCTGCTTGTAGATGTCATTTGTACTCCTTTCTTTTCATATTCCTAAATAACTAAAAGACTGTTTTTTGCAAAACATATTCGTCGTCTTAATGTATAGATATTTGAGGCTTATTTTATGGCTTTGCTGCTTATTTAAAAGTTGGTCTTGTTCTTCCGTCAGTCCTCTAAGAAGGCAATCGAGTATTGTACACGATGTACTGAATTAAATAGAATAAAAGCATCCGATCCCAGAACATCGTATTTAATAACTTACAAAGTACCTATTAATATCCCGATAAGAAAATTAAGTTGTCAGAAAGTGAAATTATAAGGTTCTTTTTTCTACTCTTTAGACTATATAAATGGAGGAGAATTGTTTACTCACCTTTCACACAGAGAGAGATTCTCAGAAAATGAGGTGCAAATTTACATTGGGGAAATTGTTTTGGCACTTGAACATCTCCACAAGGTAAAGTAACTTTATCCTGGTGCTGATTTTATAGAACTACAATTGTATTCTTTTCACATCGTATAAAGTTAGTAAGAACTATTTTTTTTAGATTGTTTTAAATTCAAGGTAATTTTATCTAGCCATGAGACATTAATTGTATAGTTAGAAATACTTCCAGTGAAGTGTCTATTCAAATGCACCAGGCTCAGGCTACAAGTTTTTGTCTGTAGTGTGAAGAGTGTTGTTACTGACAAAATGATTGTTAATTTTTAGTAGTCTTTAGGAAATGGTGTATGTCAGTAAAACTAATTTGTAGTCAATGTGAACAGTGTTTGAGTTGCACTCTTGTTCAGGTGTCCTTGTTTTGATACAATTAAATAGCAGAGTTCTGAAACTTTGGCCCAACTGTAGACATGGAAAGTGTTTTCAGAGGTAGTAAGGAGGTGTGTTGATTACTTCAAAGCGTGTGTGTGGTCTAGAACATATTACAGAAGCTTCCATTTTCATTCTTAATCAAAGCTGAGCTGAGTTCGGCACTAAAAGCAAGTGTTCCATCACTTTTTAGATTCAAAAGATACAGTATGTCCTTTACATTTTAAGACACTAATGCACAGTGTAATTTCTGAGAATTTTTAAGTCACTCGAAGTTATTTCTTCAACGGCATTTTAAAATTGTCCTTTTTGAGGTGTGACTTTCAGGTGTTAGATTACCTTAATAATGGGAATTTTGCTAGCTTCATATTTAAATGCATTCAATAATGTCTCCTTGATGTGGTTGCACTGATTTGGAAATACTTTTTCTTATATTCTGTTTGCAGTTGGGGATTATATATCGGGATATAAAACTCGAGAATATTCTCCTTGATTCCGATGGCCATGTGGTGCTGACAGACTTTGGTCTGAGTAAGGAGTTTCTTACTGATGAGGTGAGTATTTGAATGTCCAATAAGTGTGGACAGAATCCAGAAAGATGCCAAAGTCAGATTCTGTCTCACTGAAATCATAAACACATTTGAGAGGGGAGAAAAACTGCCTTCTAGACTCTTCATAGGACAAAATCTAGTAGTCTGTTTTACTGGGTTTTGATTTTTTGGTTCATTGGTCTTTAGCCTGCCAGTGTTGTCAGACATTTTTGTCTGTTCTAGTTTTTTCTGAAATGCCTTTGTGCTCCCTCCTGCTGCCCTTTATGTGAAAAAGGAGAGATCCACATAAGTCTGAAAAGCCACTTACGTTACCATTTTCGGATGCCTTTTTAAAAACGCTTGACTGTGCTAACACTTTGCAGTGACTAGGCAAATGGTATGCTATGACTCTTTTATGCTAATAATAATTAATGTATTATTATCTTGTCTCTTTCTCATGTCTTTATGTCACTTTTGATAAGCTTAATTGCAAGCTTTTAGGATAAAAGCTTATCTCTTATTAAATATGTGCATAGTACCTAACATAGTGATCTCTGACTGTTGACGTTAGTTGTTAATTATTTGTAAGGTATGGCTTTATCTCCAGGTATGCGTTTTTTAGACTTCAGAGAGTCAAAATTGCGCAGGATTTTACTTCTGAGAGAATTTAAAAATGGCTATTTTTTGGCTTTCACCTTAGGTATCAGAGGCATTGAAATCTGGGACTGCAGATCTAAAAGTCGTTGTTAGAAGCAGCAAAGGGGTTTTCTAAAAATAGATAACTGGTAGTTTCCTCTAGAATATTTGCATTTCAAATGGAGTCTGGTAGGATTTAGGCGGTACCATTTTAAGAGAGATGAAATGTTACTTTCTGAAGCAGGAAAATAGTACAGATCATGTCAGTAAATTCCTTTTAAATTATAATGTGAAACCAAGAGGAGGTTCAGCTGGCACGACAAGGGATTAGCAGCAGATTGCTGGACCAGTGCAAGAGGGGAAGTACAATGATGCATTTTTCAGCAGGGAAAAATGATAGTAAAAGGTGTGGCTAGGGAGAGTAAGACCTGCTTAGAGTTGTGACAGAAGTTGTGCTGGGCACAAGAGACAAAGTAAAGTACATTGAATGGTATTGCTGTACCCATGGGAGGGAAAAGTCCTACAGCCTTTGAGCCAAAGTTAAATCCAGCTGAAGTCTTCCCTGTCATAAGAATGTCATAATGAATCAAGACCTTCTTTAAGTCTCAAAACTTACCTTCATGATGTCATTTACAAGCAGTGCAAGGAAAGAGGAGGACTTGGATAAGCATCAGAGATGCTTGTCTGCTTTTCTCACACTCTGAATTGGATTCCTCTTTCTCCAGTCATCAATTAGCATGACTGCTTTGTTTAGTCATCTAATGTTGGTCCCTCTGACTCTGATCAATTCTGTTTTCGGTATATACCTCAGAAATCTCGTTTATCCATGTTTTTTTCTCTCATATTCTCCTTCACATTTTATATTTGACTTTCCTGTCAAAAAAGCTCAATGTTTCTTGTATTTCTCTTAAGGAAAAAAGTAATTGCAATTGTATTGTTTGCTTTCAAAATCTTAAGAAATTGTCTGCACTTGACTACAGTTTTTATGTGTGCCATTGTAATTTAGCTACGGAACCTAAACATGATTAGAATGACCCATTTACACATAGAAATTGACATTTCATATTGTATTCCCTGTAGGCAATTCGGCTACTGCTAGAACACTTACAATTCACGTTAAAAAATATGCTTAACTTACACTTCTGAACCAATGTACTTAAAAGAGGTAAAATTTGCCTGTATAACCGCATAGCTTTATATCTGTTTCCATGCTCGTTGGGTAGCACTTTAAATAAGATTACACAACTGCCTAAGTCAGATAAGAGTGGCATTTGCAATTTAATCGGAGCAGTATGCTTTCCTTTCTCTCCCTATCTTCAGGCTTTTTCCCTGGCCCACCCGCTTCTTGCAAGAACTTTGCCATTAAATTACACTTATGCAAGTGGAATTTATTCTAGTAAGCCCCCTCTTTGCGTTGTATTTTCTGAAACAAGATATATTTAGGTTATTAAGAATGTATAAAGATGATCAGCAGTTACAAGCATATACTATGTTTAGAGTTCTTATCAGAGAGAATTCTTTACCATGCATTTATGAATTTCAGATGCTTTTGTAGTTAGGGATACTTCCCAGGAAACATCCCAGTTCAATGTTTTTGTTATCCCTGCTTTAATCTGATGGCTGTTAAATATTTCTGGGTATCTGAACAAGTATAGAATCTAACAGAAGTTGTTTTATAATAAAAAGAATGTGCCATTTCTTGACTATAATAATTATAGCAGATTAATTGACTATTCAACAACAAAGAGATGGGAAGCTGCTTTTCCTAAGCACTGTTTGAACGGAAGCAAACACGTGACTTGTAGGAAAACAGAAATCTATTGATTTCTACCATCCAGCTACTGAAGCACGAGTGTGAAGACTGTTGTCAAGTATCCTCTTTGTTTTACAATTATTATGTGAAAGTGCTTATAACATGCAAGAATTACAAATCCAAGCTGAAAGCAGTGCGGTTTTAAGACCTCTGAAGCATTCTATACTACTGTTTTGCTAAAAAGAAATCTGTCTTGTACAAGTGAAATGGCAGTCTGGTTTTGCCTTTGTTTTAACTTTGAAATGAAGTCCGTATGCTTGTATTTGTGTGCAAAAAGAAGTAGTAACCGAACTGGTATAAAGTAGTTGAACAAAAATGAATTTTCACATAGGATATGTCAGTATCACAAGGTATTTAATTATGAAATCACTTCTGATACTCAAATTTTGTTTAATACCTCACAAAGACCTAGAGTTTCACTAACCTAACCATAGAATGGGATTAGGTAAGAGATCAAGATATTACAATTAATAGTTGTAGTATTAAGTTTTATGGCATTGGCATTCTTAGCCCTTTGATGAATTTAAGGCTAGTCTTTCTGATTTTTTTAACTCTCAACTGAATTGCAAAGAAAATCAGGGTAAAAAAGACACTTTTTAGCCTTATGCTTTCATGCATCTCAGTTGAGCTCCTGTCTAACGGGGATGTAGAATAGATTTGCACGATAGTAATATATATTATTACTGGGGACACAAGGAATTGATAGGACTGGCAGACTTTGTATTGAAACTTCTACAACACTATTTTGTTCATTGCATAAGTGCAATCACTTTGTGTTGCTATTTTTTTTTCCCCAAGAGTCTTGCATTTCATATACCTTTCAAAAACCAAAACCCCTAAATTGTTTTGTGTTGGTTTTTTTTTCTTTTTCTTGTGTAGTATATTTATCTTCTGGATTTGTGGTTTAGGCATATTCTTATCTTTTTATCTCATCAATAGCTCTATTTGTATGTTGGAATTGTTTTGATTTGGTTGGTGTCAGTTTAACTTAGTCATCAGGTCTGGTTTTCATTTTAATGTTTATTGTTAAAATGCTACTTCACTTCTTAAAATCTTTTTTTCCCCTCACATTTCCATTAGTTCTGTAACAACACTAAAAATCATACTTTAGTATAAATTGAGATTTTTTTACATCTTAGAAAAAATAATCTGAACACATTCATTGACTTATTGGAGTAGTAATCTATTCTACTGGACCATGCATAACAATTAACACTTTTCTTGTTAATTAAATCACATGAAGTACACTTTCTTCTGGAGTATAGTGAAATGCTCAATTCTTCTGCATCGGCACACATCTTCTACATTAGCTTGTTTGTTTTGAAATTTTTGTGTTTGCTTAATGAAGTTTAAAAAAAGTTATGTACTGAATACTGAACGCTGTCAGTCTTCAAACAATACATCTGAGAGCATAAAAATGCCTTAGTAATATAAGAGTAGATATTCTGTATGAGGGATGATTGAATTGTAACCTTAAGTCAGTTGGGTGGATATCTGTAATTCTGTCTGATGTGCAGAATGAATAGTTCAGATACATTACTGTTTTCCCATCTGAAAATCTCTTGATCAGAGTTGCAAATGTAGTTATAACTGTCAGATGCTTTTCAGTGTTGAACTGTTTGTTTTTGTTTATTAGCTGGTTGAGTGAACACTTTGTTCTGGAAAGAAAATTACTATGTAATTTTAAAAGATTTAAAAGGAAATATCATTAAAGGAAAAATGATAAAAAGGTGGTTAGTCCACTATGGATTTTGGTAGATGAAGTAGGAAGAGATTTGTACACATTCTTAGAGCAGATTAAAGGTAGTCCAGAACAGAGGGAAGTTACTACAAGTTGACTCTTGTTTAGTGCTGTATGGACTGTCATCTCACTTGAGTGACCTGGTAGATTAGCTGTGCCTTTAACTTTAAAAGATACTTTATAATTGTCCTATTAATGTGTTAATGTGTGATCATGGAAATTTGATAGTACCTCCTCTGGAAATTTGATAGTACATCCTCTGAACTTTGAGCATTCTCTTGCGAAGATGAGATAGAATAATCCGTACTGCAGATGACTGTTACTATATCTGCCTGTGTTTTAGTTAAATGATTGTTCAGTGATGTAGACATAGCACAATTTAAAGAGTAGATTTACATTTCTGCAAAGAGGAAAAAGTAAGAAAGAGTAAACTGAATAGTGAAGTTAATCCACAAAAGTTAACATTGGTTATAGATCTCTCTGGACAATTAGTCATTATTTCCTTTATTTTGAAAAAGGGAGTGAATCAATGACACAACCTTTTTGCTTTAATTGGTGTACTCTTGTTGGTGTTTTAAGCGACCTGAAATTGAATATTGAGAATATACCAAACACTCTTAAGGCACATAACTGAACTGGACTCATTTAATTGCAGAACCAGGTTATCAATGATCAGATGTCTGTTTGTGCCTTAGCCCAAGAGGTATCCTTTTTTCAGTTCTTATCACAAAGATGATTGTGCTTTCCCAGCATGGAGCTGTAATGCGGAAGACTGGAGCACAAACTACATTCTGCACAGATTTTGATGCCAAAATCTCAAAGTGCTGTTAAGCA